ATGAGTAACGATTTTGAGCATTTTCCTTTATTCTTATTGATCATTTGGTTATTGTCTTTTCTGAAATGTTGGTCTGAGACTTTTGCCCATTTAAAAATTAAGTTGTTTGCCTTTTTCTTATCCTATATAATAAAAGGCTAATATGCAAATTGTCCCCTCAACCGGGAGCTCAACTGGTTCAGCCAGGGGATGGGGCCGGCCAGCTAACTGCCTACGGCCCTTCCCCCTGGCCAGACGCCCCCAATCGGCCCATCCCTGATCGGCTCCCCCACCCCCAATTGACCCACCTAGATTGGAGGAGGGGCCAGCCAGACCCTACCTGTGCACGAATTTGTGCACTGGGCCTCTAGTTGAATTATAAACTTTAAAAAATATATTCTACATGTGAGTCTTTTGTCAAATATATATATTGAGGATATATATTTTCAACCAATGGTTTGATTTTTCAAAAAATATACTTTTAAAGAAAATATATACTTTTATTGACTTCAGAGAGAAAGGGAGAGGGAGAGAGAGATAGAAACATCAGTGATGAGAGAAAATCATTGATTGGCTGCCTCTTGCATGCCCCACACTGGGGATCGAGTCCACACCAGCACCGGGAATTGAACCATGACCTCCTGGTTTATAGGTTGATGCTCAATCACTGAGCCATGCCAGCCAGGCTGCTTTTTGCTTTTTCATTTTCTTAATGGTGTCTTCTGATGAATAAAGATTCTTAACTTTCATAAAGTCCAATTTATTGATATTTTCTTTTGTAGTTAGTATTTTTGTGTCCATTTAAGAAATGTTTGTTTTTACCAACTCATTGATACAGACAACAGACTTATGGCTGCCAGAGGGGAGAGGAACTCGGGGCTGGATAAAAAAAGGGAAAGGATTAAGAGGTAAATCTTGGTAGTTACAGAATAGTCACCAGATGTAAAGTACAGCATAGGGACTATAGTCAATAATATTATAATAACTACGTATGGTGCCAGGCAGGTACTAGACATATTGGGGGGAATCACTTGTAAATTATGATTGTCTAACCACTAGGCTGCACACCTGAAACTAATACAAAATAATATTAAATGTAAACTGTCATGAAAAATATAAAAATTATGAAGGTAAGACTCCTATTTTTTTCTTCTAGGAACTTTATTGTTTTACCTTTCACATTTAGGTATATGGTCCATTTAAATTAAAATTTTTCAATGGTGTTTCCAATTTAACCAGCACCATTTATCAAAAAGACTATCTTTTCACCTCTGAATTAAAGTGGCAGCTTTGTTCTAAGTAAAGTGATTACAGATGATTACAGATGCATGAGTTTGTTTTGGGTTGTTTTCTGTTCTATTAGTCTTTTTGGCCATCCTTTTGCCAATATGGCACTGTTTGAGTTCCTAAATTACTAAGTAACAAAGCAATACATTGTGTTATTTATAAGTATAAATCCTACAACTTTGTCAGGATTTATATATATACTAGAGGCCCGGCACACAAATTTTGTGCACAGGTACGGTCCCTAGGCCTCGTCTGCGATCAAGGCAATCTTCCCCAGCTGCCCGCAGCTGGCCCTGCCCCCCACCGCCACCCACTCCCAGTTCCCCATTTGCCTTCAGGTGACCAGAGCCTGCCGGCCTGGAACCAAGCGGTGGTCAATGTGCCTCATAGTGACTGGTCCAGTGGTCGTTCTGGTTGTTCTGCTGTTAGGGTCAATTTGCATATTACCCTTTTATTATATAGGATACTAGCATGCCCCCCCGCCCCTTACTGGAGATTGAACCCGAAACCTTGGCATATGCCCTTGACTGGAATTAACCAGGGACCCTTTAGTCCCCAGGCCGACACTCTATCCACTGAGCTAAACCAGCTAGGGCCCTTTTCATTTCCTTTCCTTGTCATATTGCATTGGCAAGGGCCACTGTAAAATGTTGACTAGGAGAGGTAAAAATTGATATCTCTGATCTTCATATTGATTTCAGAGGGAACAGTTTTAATATTTTATTTACTATTTCATTATTAGGTGTGATATCATTATCACTTTAAGAATTAGAATACCGAGGCTCAGAGAATGTCAACCACTTGCTCATGTCACCAAGTCAGCAGGTAGCACAGCCGAGTTGTGACCCCAGGCTTTCCCCACTCACACCTAAGACTCTAACTTCCACTTCACCGCAGGCTCTCTAGAAGCGGTTCAACAGGATCTCCTCTAACATTACTTAAGGAACTTTCCAAATTCTGATGCCCAGCCTCCACCTCAGACCAATTCAATCTGAATTTCTGGTGGAGAAGCTTGGGCATTCGTATCTTAAAACTTTCCTCGATGATTCTAATCATCTGAGAACTAGGCTGAGAACCACTGATCTTCTATTTTTGGTACCGTCAGATCCCAGCTGCACATAGTGGTACTTTCCTGAAAACTTTATATTTTAACATCTGCGCATGCCTAATGGGTCTAACTCTAACCCAAAGGGAGACAAACTTGTTCTTATAACCTTTTGCTGCCTCCTCATGATCTCCACTCCTCTCCCCTACAAATGCCTTCAGAGCATCTTTTTGATAATCTGCTATAAGGAAAAATCATCTGCTTGACGGGGAAATTATTTTCTATTTATATTCTTAAGTGATTTAATTCTTGATTTCTTTCCACCTCGACGACTCAGCTCTTTCTACCTCGCTGACTTGCTTGCCAAACAGGCTATATAATCTCTCACATCCATTATTCCATTCCCTATTACATATTAATATTTGTATTTATCCATTTTGGCACTTAACTTTTAATCAAAGATTCTTGTTTGACATAGCAAAGCAGGTTGAGAGGGGGCTGGGGTATATCAGTTTGGGAGGAGGATAGAAGGCTGATTGGGCTTTCTGATGCTTTTATTGAGCTATTAGCTCTACTACCACTCCTTAAAACAAATACCTCCTTTATAAAGCGTTTAGCCTCTTCCATTGTCCACAGACTTTGTCCTGAACCTTCCCTGATCTGGTTTACATCCCATGTTCAGATCCTGCTTCTGGCCCACAGGGTCCTGTATTCCACATAAAGCAGTGGTTCTCAACCTTCCTAATGCCTCGACCCTTTAATACAGTTCCTCACGTTGTGGTGACCCCCAATTTCATGGTTACAAATTGAACATAATTAAAGCATAGTGATTAATCACAAAAGCAATATGTAATTATATATGTGTTTTCCGATGGTCTTAGGCGACCCCTGTGGAAGTGTCGTTTGACCCCCAAAGGGATCTCGACCCACAGGTTGAGAACCGCTGACATAACGCTTTGCCCTGCCCCTTGGCTGACACTTGGCTTTGCTTCCTGGGCGCGGCCCTGGCTTCCCTCTCTATGATTGGATTTTCCCTCTGGCTGTCCCCGGGGCAAACAGGTCGGTCCTGCCTGGACCGGTTCTGGCAGTCCAAGGGCTTTGTGGTTCCCACTTGTCTGTTTTCTTTTTGGTGTGTGCAGAATTGAGGTGTCTGGTGGACAGAAAGGAGGAGGAAATTTGGGGGTTTTAGGTCACGCTCCCTTCCCTGCATTTGCATGATTCTGTTTAACTGTCACAACCCAGCAACCCACTCCTCTGCCTTTCCCAAACGCTAGACCTGTAAGAAGGAACTGGAAATGAGCGGACAGCACCCGTGATATATGACGGGCCTGTGCACCAGCCTGTGTCCCTGAGATATTCGCATAAAAGCCCGCACGGATGCGTTTCCAGTAACCAGCAGGAAAATGTCGCCCATAAATCTCAGCAGTGTTTACTGTATATTCTGGGCTCCTCAACTGTGTGGGTTCCACGCTCCTTCGCGCACCGCTCAGGGAGAATCTCAGCATCCACCAGCTCTGGACACCCTGTGTCTGTGCTCCGGGTGCGCCGTCCTGCTGCCCGGGGGATGGCCAGGCCAGACCATCCTTGCCACCCCTTGCATGCCCTCCCATAAGGGGAGCTTGGCCTCAGGCCCAGGCCCATCCCACTCCATGTAAAAGCTAATTACCTGTAAGTGCTTCCAGCAGCAATTTCTTTAGGATGTGTAAGTGCTGTGGTTAGATTGTGTTCTCTTGGCATCATTAAGTTTATGACGGGGGACGGGGTCGTGGGTGGTTTGGGAATGGAGGCGATCCATAGATGGGACCCGTGCCTGAGGAAGCTGGCCTCAGGCTGAGTTACACCTGGGCCCACGGTAGGCGGAGAGCTGAGCAGCCCCACAGGCCTGGCCCTCTCACCCCCTTCTCCCTTCATTGCCTTTCCCAGAGGCTCCACTTAGGGGGCACAGGCCAGGAGGGGGGGCCAGGATGAGGTGCCAGCCCTGGCATTAATGTGCTGTGTGGCTTAGGCGATCTCTTCCCCTCCCTGGGCCTCTGTTTCTTCACCATTCAGCCCACCCTTGACAAGGGAACTGCTGTGTGTCAGGCCTCAGCTGGGTGCTGGGACCAGAGAGGTTTTAATACAGAAGCTGCCCCGAGCAGCTCAAATCTGCTGCAGGGATGAGTGTGCAGACCGATAAGGATAGAACAACATAAGTGCTGCAGTTGTGGTCAGACAGGTGGCTGGGAGGACAGAGACCCTCTGGCTGGGGGGTGGGGGGTGAGGTGTGTGTTCCCAGAGGAGGTGGCTTCTCCCCTGGTCTGAGAGGACAGTGAGGAGGGAAGACAGGGACGATGGACCACTTCAGGGTTAAGTGAACTGGATTTGAGGTGCCCATGAAATACCCAGGCAAATTAGCTTTGGAATTAAAGAGATCCAGGAGCAGGTTTGAAATGTGGATCTTAGGAAAGAAAGTCAGGGATGGAGGGCTAGACGTGTGTATGTGTGTGGGGCCGTCATACTGAGCCACTGAGGCCACTTGGGTTTGGTTGCTATTGACTGAGATGGGACAAAGTGGGCTGACAGCAAAACCTGGCGTGAGTCACCTTAGGATGCAGAGGAAGAGAGGTTAAAGGAGATGGTAATTAGTAGTTAGCTAGGGAGCCCCCCAAAGTGGGGTATCAGGGAGCCCCAGGAAGGAAAGAAGGCCGAGATGGAGAGTTCTCAGCAGGAGGAGGTGTTACAGAGAGGCCAAGTAAGACTGTGAGGCTGGGCTCCACACCAGACAAATCCCCAAATCCTCTTAAGCATGCACTGCGTCTGTCTGTCTCTCTCATTTTTTTGTTTCTCTATGTGTCTGTCTGTGTTTCTCCGTCTCTTATTTCTTCCTGACCTGTGTCAGTGCCGAGGTCAGCGCCAATCACAAGTAAGTGCTCCATTCATGTTGCACTAGAAAGAGATGCAGGAATAAGACTATTTGCCTTTCCGGAGGGATTGTAATTATTCATCTTCTTGGTCCTGGTCAGGAATTAAAACAGGACTCACTCTGCTTTTTAAAGTTCTAGTTCTGGGCTGCAGGATCTGAGGAAGTCCCAACAAGTGGGTAAACTTGTGGGCCCCAGGTTTCCGTGGGGTCTCAGTTCCAGATGAACCTGCAGAAATACCAGGCAGGACCAGGGCCCTGGGTCTAGAGGAGGTGACTGCAGCCACCAGATGGGAATGAGACGGGATGATGGCGCCACCTGTGGCAGGCATTGTACATGCATTATCTTAGTTACCTTCCATTGTCCTCCGCCGTTGGGATTTTTATCCCCATCTATAATAATAAAAGCATAATATGCTAATTAGACCAGACGTCCTTCCGGGATGATGCTGGGGCTGCAGCCGCGGGATCCAGGCAGCCGCCCGCGGCTGTGAGGGAGGGATCCAGGCAGCCGCCGTGGCTGCGAAGGCCTACTCTTGCATGAATTTTGTGCATTGGGCCTCTAGTTTTATAGGTAAAGGCTCAAATTATTTAGGTATACACATTGTCTAGGTAGTAAGATACAGGGGCAGGATTTATACCCAGGCATGACTCTAGAACCTGTGCTTGTTCTGACGCTACAGGAATTGGTTCAGACGCTGGGAGCCCAGAGCCCAGTGGGTGTGGGGCCCCTCAGGACCACCCACTGTGATGAGATGGTTGAGTTGGAGCCACTGAGATGGTGGTGGATACGATCAACTTGAGAGGGTGGTGGCTGGCTGGCAGCAGGCTAAGTGGCAGGTCAATAACATCAGAGCCAAAGGCCTGAGACACAGACCCACATGACAATGCACCAAATAGGAAAATGAGCAACACGCACGAAACACACTTCATAGGAAATCCAAATGTCAAAAACCAAAGGAAAGCAAAACAAAAACATATGAAAAGACTCTTAGCTTCATTGTAGTAAGTGGAGACATGCATATTAGAATAAACATTTTGCACACCCACCCAAATGGCAAACATGTGAAATCCGACAGTACCAAATGTTGGCAAGAATATGGAGTTACATGAGTTAATACTTTGCGGGTGGGACTGTAAGTTGCTACAGCTGTTCTGCAAAGCAGTTTGGCAACTCCAGTAAAATGAAAGGCGCGTAGACTCTATGAGCTGGTCATCCCACTCCTAGGCTGAACGACCAGAGAAATTGGCCCGTGTGTACCAGAAGACATTTAGAAGAATATTTATGGCAGCACTGTACATCGTAGCAAAAACTGGGAAATGGCTCAAATGGCCCCAGACTGGAGAATGCGGAAATGAATTCTCTATTCAATTGCAATTGATTTAGACAATGAAATACCCCGCAGCAGTGACCTCAGCCACATGCAGTAGCAGGAAGGAGTTTCCCAAACGTAATGCTGACTGAGGAAAAAAGCCTATTTCTACATACAGTGTGATCCCATTATGTTAAGTTCAAAACCTTGTAAACTGAACAGCATACGCATGCAATACATCTTTAAAGAAAACAAGGGAAAGGCAAGCACACAATTCAGGGGGAGAAGCAGAGGTATGAGATCAAGGATGATGTCCAGGGGGGATTCTGGTGTTATTTTATTCCTAAGAGTAGATTTCCCAGGTATTAGACACATACACATACATATAGTATAGGCGTTTATTATTTTGGAATGCCTAATCAATTTGCAAATGCTCTCTTTGGAAGGGATGACATGTTTCAAAATAGTAGATTAACATAAATGGTCTGAGCATATAAAACAAGTCAGAAGGAAAGTGAGACAGTGGTCAGTTGCCTGGATCGAACACCAGGTCCTCTTCTCTGGGAAACCGAAGGCAGGGAAGAGATCGGGATCTACATCAGGGTGGGGTGAGGGTCGCTTTCCTGGGCTCAGGAACCAGCCGAATCCATGCTCTGAGCTGCCTGCTTCTCCAAAGCGGCCCTTCCCTGCAGGGGCTGTCGCTCACACCACCCTTCCATCTGCATGGCGGTCCCTCCACCTTTGCTTGTCTGGGTGTGTCCTCGGGTCCCCCGTCTAGTTTTACTCTCTTCAATGTAGCCCCCATTTACCGAGAGCCTGCCATGTGCCTGGCCTGGAGCAGCCACGCGTGAACAAGCTGCGGTCCCCAGGCTCGCAGAGCTCCCTGTGGAACAGGGACAGACAGACAGACAGACAGACAGACAGACAGGAGAGCCGAGAATCACATGACACGGGGCTTCTGGCGCACACAGTTCGCTGCAGACCTTGTTAAAAGGCAGATCCCAGGTCTCCCTGGAGTCCAGTGGAGTAAGTCTGGGAGGGGCCCCGGAATGTGCTTTGAGGAACCCCCCCGTGGTGCAGCGGGCCCACACCTTGGGGAACCAGGGCCGGTCAGTGCGGGAAACGCTATGATGACAGCAGACGTGCTGGGCTGTGGATTACGAGGAGGGGCCACCTCCTGCAGCTGGGTGTGGGCAGGGAGTCAGGGCGGCTTGTGGAAGGCCTCCCCTTCCTCATGGGAAGTCACATTGCAAATGGTTATGGTGGATGATGCCCCAGGCCCCTCGGCCCCTCTGCTCCAGCTCGAGGACTGGCACCCATACGTGCTCAGGGAGATGGTGCTCAGCAGGTTTGCCAAGCAGCGTTCTGGGCTGGGGAGCTGGCCTGGCGTCAGGCCCTGGGTGGCGCCAGGCCCGCGGGGACCATCGACTCCTTGGCCTCTCTGGTGTTTTCCGAGTGGCCCATCTCCAAGCATGCGGCGGGGACTAGCTTTGGGTCTGACCTGTATCCCGGCTGGGTCAGGGATGTAACGCCATCAGCATCCAAGGTGAGATGAGGGAAACTGGATGATTGACACATTCCCCCGTCGGAGACCCCTTCGCTACAGCCTTGGATGGTGCTGGAGGGAGGGAAGGGATGAAGGCCAGACAGGCCTCAGACATTTCTCTTGTTGGCAATAATAGGGCTGTTTCCTATTTCTAGGCCCAAGTGAGGCCCCGGTCTCTGAGGGCCTGTTAGTCAACACCTGGCACGAACTCAGTCCTGCCGGGGCAGCCTTGCTGTTTGTTCTTTTATTGAGCACACCCAGGTGAGTTTTATTGAGGACAGTTCCCCGGGCTCTGGTTTCCACATTTGTCTCTTTTGAATCTGAGATTGCCAAGGCTTTCAGAGCTAATGGACCTCACAGCTCCCAGGAGCCACTTAAGGGAGGCTCAGAACTCCGTGGTGGTAATTAGTCAAACAAGACGCAGGCCTCCGGGGAGCTGGGGTTGAGTGGCAGGAAGTCAGGGTGTAGGGACAGGAGCCCCAGGCCTGCAGCAGGTGCGGGGAGCATCTCCTCAAATCACCTCTCCCTCGTTCTTCCCCGGCCTCATCCCTACCCTGCTGCTCCCAACAGGGAGGGACTCCTTGGTTCCCAGCTGCAGGGGCCTCAGGCAGGCTGGTGTCCGGGGGTGTCTGAGGGGCTGCAGTGGCACTGCTGAGTAACCTTGACAAGTTACTGCCCCCCTTTCCCCCAAAGTCTCTTCTGCTGCCCCCTGGTGGAGGCAGAGGGTCTGTGCTCAGGTGGCCCTTCTCAGAAGGCAGCCTAACATCCCTAATTCTTCCATGGGCTTCCACGGACCATGTGAGTTCAAATCTCAAACCGACTGCTTTCAGAGTTTGTGATCTGGGGCAAGTCAATGAACCTTTCTGTGTCTCAGTTTCTTCATCTGTAAAATGGTGATAATATGGTAATAACACTGACCTCAGAGGGTGATTGCAAGGATCAGTGTATGCACTGCACTTCGAGTGGTAGCTGGAACATATAGAACATTCAATAAGCAGAAGCTATTATGATGATGCCAAGAGCAGGTCTGACAGGGGCAGAACTGTCAGTGAACTCTTTTTCCTTTTTAATAAATATGTTTTTATTGATTTCAGAGAGAGGAAGGGAGAAGGAGAGAGGGATAGAAATATCAATGATGAGAGAGAATCATTGATCAGCTGCCTCCTACATGCCCCTTACTGGGGATTGAGCCCACAACCCAGGCATGTGCCCTGACCAGGAATCAAACTGTGACCTGGTGTGGTTCATAGGTTGATGCTCAACCATTGAGCCACACCAACCAGGTGGGAAGTGAAGTGTTTATCTGGCATTCACGTCCCATCGTGCCCAAGTTTGATCCTCTGTGGCTGGGCAGAGAGAGAGCCCTCCAGAAAGCAGCCGGCTGTCAGTGGGGGAGGATGGTGATGGAAGGTGGGAAAGGAGAGATGTTGAGCTCAGCCTGCTGCTAACCCAAAGAAGGAGGAGAGAGCCAACATGTGATGAGCATCTCTTCAGGATCCAGCATCACCTGCTTCATCTTCTTAACCCCCCAACACCCTGTGGGTGGGTGAGAGAACAGAGCCTTAGAAAAACTAAGTGACTTTTATGTCAAGTCATACAACACACACAAGAGGGCTCCAGGCTGGGAGCTCTGGGACGTGAGAGCTCTACGTGGCTTTTTTCTATGGTCGTTTGCTGTGGTGGATGGCCAGGGCCTGCTCCCTGGATGCCTGGCTTGCTGCCTTCTCTCTATGAAACCCAGGATCTCTGCTGGAGCCAGAGGATAGGCCTCCAGAGTCACTGGGATCCAGGGCTGGGCCATGCAGGGCCTGGTTCTCTGTCTCATTAGTGTCACGAGCCGTGGTGCTGTCGCAGGTGCACAGGATGTCCTCTCTCCATCTGCAGGTGGATGGCGTTCTGTGCTTGGCCGACATCCTGACCGACGACAGCCACTCAGAGGCCACACGGGCCGAGGCCGCGGCCGTGGTCGCCCAGGTCACTTCCCCACACCTGCCCTTCACGCAGCACCTCAGCAGCTTCCTGGAGAGCATGGAGGAGATAGTGACTGCTCTCCTCAGTGAGTCACCCTGGGGGCGGGGCGCTGAGGGAGGGGCCTTGCCGCAGTTGTCCTCAGGAAGCGACAGGAAGACCAGGCTGGCCCCACTTGCCTCCCGCAAGGATAATCATTCACACCACAGAAGCGTCAGTCAGGCTTAATGCATGCAGCCCTTCTGAAGCTCCTTGAATGGAGGTCAGATTGGGATTAACTGACCTTTCAGATCAGAGACCAGGGCTGACCCCAGGGAAGGAGAGGGGCTCAAATTTTGAGGTTCAGATACTAGATCAGAAGACTCTGATGGGCTTTGCCCCTGAAATCTCAGTTGACTGTAGCCAATAAATATGGCAGCAATGACTGGGGACAACAGCCTCTCAGAGAGCACCGGTTCCTCCCACACTGCTCCCTGCAACCCCACCATTGCTCTCCAGTCATGGGGCCTCAAAGCATTGACTCTTCCAGGTTCCTCCATTCAGACAAGTGTGCTCCTGGCAGGAGAACCAGAACCCGGTATTTAGAACACCCGCCCCTGGTTTCCTGTGCAGAACTACAGATTCTAGAACTCATCTGGATAACAATCTTCAGGAAATTTGTTTTGCAAACCACGTTCTTTCCTTTAGAGTGCTGGTGATAACCTGTGTTTTTGCTTCTATCTCCCTGTCTGTTACTGTTTCTAGTTCCATATGTTATTGAAACTGAATGAAAATTAATTTTATCAGAAAATGCAGGGTTAGCACCAGAGCTGGGAATATCTGGAACAGCACACATTTAGGGCACACAGAACATTGGACTTGGAGTTAGAGCTCTCGGGTTTGGGTTTTGCCTTTTCATTCATCCGTTCTGCAAATCGCTACTGTGCAGGCGCTGCGTGAGGTCCTGCCACTCCCTGGCCCTGTCACATTGCAAGGCTCACATGACAATTTTCCTAACGTAGAAAACAAGGGTTTGAAACCCATTCCTCTCCAGGATCCATGCTGCCGTTTGAAGATACACAATTACTTTGCAAAGGAGGCATCAGTGAAGTTGACTCTGTGGTTGATTCCAGTCACTGGGGCAGTGGCACCCACAGGCCAGGCTGGGAGGAATCAGTTTGCCAGCATGCACATCTATTCAAAGTTGGGAAAATGCAGAAGCCCAGTTGTTGAGAGTCGTAGCTGCAGGGAATTCAAGAGGTCATGAACTTTAATGCCCACTTTATAGGAGAAGAAACCCAGGCCCAGAAAGGCGGAGGGATTTCTTCAAGGCCCACACACCAGAGTCAGGATTTACGTCTGCCAGGAGGCTCATGTTCAGTCATTCACCAGAGCCAGGCAGGAAGCAGAAATGAGTTGAAGAGACCAGATGGAAGGAGAAAATAAGGTGACTTAAGTCCTGCATTGAATTGAAAACCACTGCTGTGACTCAAGGGGTCAGTCACTGATAAACCCCAGTTGATTTTTGTCATTTGGAAAGACATTTTTTTAAAGACAAAAATCCTAAGTTTTATAGAAAATCTCCTAATTTATAAATGATAGAAAGTAATTTTAAAAAACCATATATAGTCTGAATGACCTTTCACTATTGCCACATGCCCATCCCTACTTCCTTGGCCGGGCTGGATCTATGCCTGGGGAAGAGGAGTCTCCTACGTACTGCACTCTGATGAAGATGTATTGTGGAGTCTGCCCTGAGCGTCAGCAGATGGGATATATCTGCTGGGCAGGATGCCAGGGCTCTGTTCTTTGGTGGGAAATAGCCCTCCAATTTCTTGCCATTCATTGGAAACATTTATAAATGAGTCACTGGAATCCTCCATTTAATCTTCCTAACACATCCCAGGTGACTCAGACTGTAAATGTGCACCAAATAAATGTGCACCCAAATTAAAAGGCACTTAGGCGGCTGTGTTCATCGCTGTGTCGGCAGCAATGGTGATTGCATAAGAATGAGGGTGGGCATTTAGACCTAGAAGAGAACTTGAAGCAAAGTGGGCCGCTGAGTCCTAAGGTCTCACCTCAACTCTGGATGTAGGCAGGTGGCCTGGAAGGGGTTGGTTGTCCTCAGTGGTTCCCCAAAAATCAGAGGCTAGGGAGTCATTGGAAAAGGGGAATTATAAACTTCTTGACTCCTTGGTTAAGCCACTCTCTCAACCAATGGGTGGTTAGGTCAAGATTCCGGGTTGTTTAATGGTCACACCTGGGCTGTGGGGAGCAGGGATGCCCAGAAGCAGACATTGCCTCCTGATAGAACTGAAACCCAGATCTGCAGGAGCTCAATGGGATGAACCAAAGAGGCCTAGAGAGGAGAGGCACCCTGGGGTACAGAAACATGGGGGCTTTGGGGTCAGGCAGCCCTAGTTTTGATTCTAGGTTTCAGCAGTTGCCAACAATCCTCAATTCCACGATTTTGGGAAAATCACTTAACATTTGAATCCTCAGTTCCATCATCTATAAAATTGTGATAAACATTGGGTCGTTGTGAGGATGGAGTGCCTTGCACAGAGTAAGCAATCGAGATAAATGGTGGCTGCTGCTGCTAGCTTCTCTGTCTCAGCTTCTACATCTGTAATGGAGGCAAGATTTTCTACTTTAAGGGTGCTGAGAATTTAATGGCAAAATGCAAGGCACACTTCAGGGGGTTCAACTAATGTTATTTTCTGTCCATTTATAGTAAGGCCCCAGAAGGTGCCAAATGGTGCCAGTTTCAATATCAGAACCTAGAAGTACAGACTTTTTGTCTGGAAGCAAGAACTAGGGATCAGGATAAAACATAGTTCAGTCTGTCTTTGAAATTGTGTTTCTCTCCTGGGACCATATTCCCGAAGTGTGGCTTCTCCTCCTGTACTTTCATAGAGGTGTGATCAGCAGGAGAGGGCCTGGACCCAGGAAGCATCTTAATTGATGGTCAAGTTGGAGCTGAGAGTCAGAAGTCAGATCCATTGGGATGGGCGGCCACACCATGGACAGTTTCCCATGCCCTCTAAGGCAGGAGTCCATTCTTGGTCCAGTGGAGTCCATGGGGGAATGTGTTAGGTGGTGGAGGGATACTGGGATTGAGGAAGGTCCTCCCTGCCTTAGAGAACCATCATACCCATCTACTATTATAGATGGTTAAGTACGGAATATGGTTAGATCTGGGTTATGACCACTAGTGTCAGAGAGAAAGAACCCAACATTCAGGGTCTTGGTGTAGGACTTACTCTGTGACCAAAAGGAAACACTGAAGCTCTGCTGATGGCAGCTGGAGAGGTAGAATTTTTATGTTTTAACTTCATCCTTTTTTCTCAAGGCAAATGCAACAGTAGTCTGGTGTATATTACTAGAGATGTAATGGACTAGGAGCTGTTTTCTGCCTCAGGACCTTTGTATATGCTGTCCCTTTGGCCCAGAACATACTCTTCACTCAAATATTCTCATGATTGTCCCATTTTATCCTTAAGGGCTAAGTTGTCATATTCTTCAGGAGACCTTCCTTATGCACCTCATTGGGCTTTTAGTTTTCTCCTGTCTTAGCATTTTTTTTTAATTTTCTCTCTCACATTTATTAGAATTTGCAAGTATTTATATTAATTTTTTAAAAGCTCATTTTCTCCTGCCCACTACTAGCATGTGAGCTGAACAGGAGCAAAGACCTGATCTATATTGTTCACTGTGTCATCCCAAGACCCCAGTGGTGCCTGGTACATAGTGGATACAGAAGTGAATAGGAGTCACCCACCAGGATTCAAATCCCAGCGGCGCCACTTATACAGATACATTTCCCTCCGTAGTAACACTGTCCTTATCTGTAAAGTGGGCGCTATAACACTTGCCCAGATTTTCTCCCAGGGCTATTGTGGGAACCAAATGAGAACACTGATGTGAAAGCACTTTTCAGTGAAGCTATTTTCTCCCTCCTTGCCATCCAGAACTGTGCCAAGAGGCCTCGTCTGGGGAAGTCTTCCTGCTGGCCTCTGCGGCCCTTGCCAACATCACCTTCTTCGACACGATGGCCTGCGAGATGCTCCTGCAGCTGAATGCCATCCGCGTCCTCCTGGAAGCCTGCAGCGACAAGCAGAGGGTGGACACGCCTTATACCCGGGACCAGGTGAGAAGCTGGGGAGGGACCAGGCACAGCGCCTGTCACCGTGAAGACAGGTCAGGGGGTCAGGGCTTAAGCCCTCGGGGGACAGCATGGCCTGGTAGCACCTGGTCAGTCCTGCTGGTTGCATCCTGTAGGAAGGTCAAGGGAAATGTTTTCATCATGCCTCCTTGCCCCTGGAGCATCTCCATGAGCCCACTCTCTACCCCTTTTCTCAACCCAACCACCATGGGCCTTTCTCTGTCTCCATTCACACTGTCCATTCTAGGAGGGAGAGGCATCATGGGAAGGTCCCTGGACCTACTCCCAAAGTCTGTGTCCTGCTCTTTTTGGTGCCTGTCTGACATTGTGCCCTGCAGTGATTTTTGTCCCTTCTCTGCTTCCATGAAAACAGGGGTTTGCTTGGGTCAGAACCTTGATTCTGGGCCTCAGCCCTTGTATCCATCTCAATGATTTTGTAGATTGAGATCCATGTAAAGTTTTGTTGGGAAAAAAGGACTTTACTGCCAAACATGTTAGAAAATATTGAGCGAGGGGGTTTTAAAAGGCCTTGGGCTCAGAGGTTATGGTATTCTGACCTGTCTCACCTCTGCCGTACTCAGCCTGCCATTTCCCTACCGAAAGGTGTGTGGGGCGGTGGATCAGGTGGGTTTCAGTGCTCTGTAAATTCCATCAAGTGCCTGAGCTCTAAGTTAGATGATCCCTAACCTCCAACCCAGCTCATCCCTGTCTGCATCTTAGCCTCCAATCCCCACCTGTGTCTTTCAGCCTCATCACCTAGTAAAGCTGCCATAGATTCTTATTCCAGCTCCCACCCGGCAACCCTGCAAAGCCTTCCCGGTGGCTCCAGGCCTCTGGAATGCCCTCCTGCTCTTAGAGGCCACACTTCACAATGCAGTGGTGTCTGTTCTAATGGTATTTATTCCTTCCTTGTTAGTGCATGTCAGCCCCACTCCCAAGCCCCCAGGGCACGGTCCATGTTTATACTTCCCCAGGATTTCTTAAGGCCTCTGCCCGAAGTTGGCCCCGTGATGAAGTCCTCTAAGTGCTTCTTTAGGGCACACAAAGGAAGAAGCAGGACGGCACTGCATTAGTTCTTCCTTATCCTTAGAATTGCTGGCCATAGAAACTCACATTCAGAGAGCATTTTCTAGGACATATAAGCAATTTCCTATGAGGGTTCTAATAATTCTGTGAGGCTGGTAATATTTGCTCCATTTTATAGATAAGAGTCTTGAGGCTCAAAAAGGATGTCCCCCTATCATAGGGTTGGCAAGCAGCTGCCAGCATTTACATCCTGGCCTGACTTAGACTTGGGTCTTTGACTCTCACCTGCTGTGAACGTGAAGTGGAGGCAGTGTAGCTGTGGAGTCAGAGAGACCGAGGTGGATCCTGGCCATTTATTCATTGGGTGGTTTGGACAAGTCACAGCCTCCTGGGTGTTGATGTTCTCACTATTAATTGGGACATAAATGCCGACCTCTCAGGGTTATTGTGAGGGTGGGTGAGATAATACATGCAAAGAACCCGATACAAGGCTTAGCCCTTCTGAGTCCTCAATAAATGATGGATATTATTATTATTTTTAAGCTTGATGCTCCAAGGAAGAGCATGGATAGTGAATTATTCAAAGTCCTCAATTTGGCTTCCCAAGCCATGCGTGCTGTGGTTCATGACTTCCTTTCCAGTCAAATCTCTCACTCCTTAGAGTTGGACAAGTTCCCCATAGAAACAAGGTGTGACAGTACAGATGGATAAAGAGGGGCACATTGCAGGCACAGTCCTTGGCTGTGGGGAGTGGGGTGGAGGGCGCGCTCTGTGTGATGTGCCTGGCACTTCCTCTTCTTCAGCTAGACACCGCCAGTTCCTGGGTCTGTCATCTACCTGACAGTATCAGGTCCCCTCACCTTCAAGTTCCTTCTTGTGGCCAACTCTGGTCATTTCATACAAGATCTAGTAGTAAAACAATAAGAACAGGAATTTTGGGGGTCAGATGACCTGGGTTCAAAGCTCCTCTATTATGATAATCATATAACTTCAGATATTTTACTTCAAGCCTCACTTTTCTTTTTTGTGTGGATGTGGTTGAATAAAAGATACTTCACAAATTTGAAATAAGAATTCAATAAATGAATGGTTATAAACTCTTGCTACAATTCTTGGCACAAAGAAACTATTAAATAAATGGAAGCTCATATCAATGTTATTATTACTATTGGCCTTGGAATGTGGCACACAGCCCTGAGGGGGGCATCTCTGGAGTGGGATTTTCTTACCTGTAAAAGGGGCAAGACTCCTCCCGCTCAGACATCCCCAAGCTCTGGGCAGAGACCCTTGTTTCATCACGAGGAGTGACTGGCCCCTCTTGAAGGAGGAGGGGTTCAGGGTGGGGAGAGAATGTGATCAAGTTCTAGCAGATAGAAACTTTCTGAATCTGGAGTTTTTCTGCTTCACTCCCTAACCACCCTGTCCCCCCAATCCCATCTTCTCCACACCCTTTTCTCCACACCCTTGATGTCTGAGCCAGGTACGGCTCCCACCATCCTCAGGGTGGCTTAGCTTTCTGCTCTGACTCAGAGCAGCCACTTAGCTAGCGAGAGTGCATCCATTAAAGAAACAAATGGCCCTTTCCTGTGGCAGAGCGAGGATTAAGATGACCAGAGAGCTCTGCGCAATGAAGACAAAGAAGATGAATTAGCCTCTGAAGTGCTCACCGCCCCCTGAAACACTTAGGAGATTAAATGCCCGTGAAGTTTCCGGTAATGCATCTGCCAATGACGCCAATGCTGTGCGGAGCCTCTTGGTCTTGGATGTGTACTTGGTCCACCTCCATTTGGACATCTCCATGAGGACCTCTCCATCATCTCAGCAAGCTGAGTCCACTTAATTTGTCCAACAGAAGCCTCGACGGCCAGGCCTATCCTGGACCCACCCTTGGGGTGTGGATGGGGTGAGGGCAGCATTGTGTCTGGTTCGTCTCAACCCCCCCACCACCCCTCCGCTGCTAATCTAGGGGAGCCATTGTGGTCAGACATCCAGAAGAACCCCCTGCTAACAAACCATCTGTGTGGCTCAAATTTTAATCCTCAGGAGGTATTTCCTAGGGGTCATGCTGTGCAGGGAATCCAGCTACAGGTGTGCCACGGGCAGTGGGAGAGGGGCTGCCTCATGCTTACTCACCTCTGCCCTGCCTGTCAAGCAGTGACAACCTCGGTGAGAGACCCTGTTATCTAACCCACAACAGAGACTTCCACTGAGCAGGACCTTGTGTGGCCTTCAGAAATTAGTGGCTTTCATGGAGGTGGAGGGTGCTGGTGTACGCTTCCCATGATAACATGTCTGCTTGGCATTTTAGAATGTCAAGATTTTGTCGCATTTCTGAGACCTCACTGTGAATAGCATTATCAGGAGTCCTTTTATTAGAAATGCCAGTTACTAGGGTTTGTAATGTTGACTCACATTGAAAAAGACCTTTATAGTTTATAAGGTCCTGTCATATGCACATGTGACATAGTAGAAACAGCACAGACTTTGGGTTCAGACAGACCTGAGTTCAAATCCTGACTCTGCCATTGCCTAGCGGTGTGACCTTAGACAAATCGCTTGATCTCTCTAAGCCGCACTTCCCTCAGATGGGTAAGGGGGTAATGTTTTCTCCCTCCTGTGATCAGATGGCATAATGCTCCTAAAGTGGTTAGCACCAAAGTGGATGCTCACACATGAGCAGGGCAGGGGTCTGTGATAGAGCCAGGAATTGGGATGGGTCTGAGATAGGGAAGGTCAGCTTAAAGGCAGGAAATTAAGGCCAGGACAGGTAGTTAATGAGGTGGTGAGTGTAGTGTGGTATAAGGCAATGTGTGGTGTGTGTTGTTTCAATCTGTGTCTGGGTATATGCAAGTTGTGTGTGTGTGTGTGTGTGTGTGTGTGTGTGATAAAGACTACAAGCCACGCAAAGGAGTGGACACAGCCCTGGCCAGTGTGGTTCAGTTGGTTGAACATTGTCCCATGTACCAAAAGGTTGCCGGTTCAATTCCCAGTCAGGGCTCATGCCTGGGTTGCAGGCTAGATCCCCAGTAGTGGGTGTGCAGGAGGCAGCTGATCAATGTTACCCTCTCACATTGATGTTTCTCTCTCTCTCTTTTTCTCCCTCCCTCTTCCCTTCTCTCTCAAATCAATAAAATCATACAGATTTTTAAAAAAGCGTGGCCATAGTGTATAAAAAGAGACTACATCCTTCTTCTCTCAGACCCCTTCATCCTTCAGACCAATATCCTGGTCTTGATTCTTTCTGACCTCTGGTGGAGGAAGTGGTGTGGAGGGAAGAAGGCAGGACCGAGAGAGCAGTGGGCTTTCCCTAGAGGCTGAAAGGGATTTTGCTGGCTGGTCTCAAGGCTGCAGTTGACATGGGTGATAAAGCTTTTAGAGAGTTAACACAGGGATAACAGAAATCTAAATATTCCATCTAGCAATTAAGGAGTAACTCTAATTACAGTCATACCAACTGTTGGCCTTTTTGTCCTAATTACTGCACAGCATAAAAGCAATGATAACTTTTCATTAAATGCATGTCAGCTATTCTGTGTGGTAAGTTCTGTTAGACCAGAGCACTTGCCTCTCTTTGGGTTTCCTGGGTAACCCTCGCTAGGGTTTTATGTGGTATGGTCTTCAGTGTTAGTTTACACATAGCACACAAAAGGGACAGAGGCAGAGACCGTGTGTGAGCACAGGCAGACATTGGCGAGGCTGTGAGACAAGCCCGGTTCCTGCCTTGGGATGGGCTGTGGACAAGAGCTCCCAGAGCACCTGCCCTGGGCCAGCACAGAATACCTCCCTCCGCATCCGCACTGACATCAAAAGGCTTTGCCAACCTCCTTCTTGCCACACAGGGCCAGTGACACGGGAGGTCCCCTGCTCTTTTGATTCAATTTGCTATTCACCTCGATTTTCCTAAGGTGGTCAGTCAGTTTTGGGGATGCCAAAGGGAAAGTGATTTCAAAATGTGGCAGAAAGCAATAAGCGCAAAGTTTGTTGGGTTCTCTTCTGGGAAGGGTTCCTCCTGAGCTGGGACCTGGCCTCCCTTTGGGAATATCTCACATCAGCAAAACATATGCCAACACTGGGGATTGTGTTGGTTAGTGCCCCCTGACACAGGTGTTCACAGTCTGGGTACCTTCAGGGTGTTTCCCTCAGGCATGTCATACTCATTTTGTTTAACAAATGTTCTGGGTGCTACCACAGGAACTCATCTATAATAATAAAAGTGTAATATGCTAATTAGACCGGATGACCTTCTGGATGAAGCTGGGGCTGCGAGGGAAGCCGGGGGCCCCGGGTGCCTGTCGGCAGCCAGAGGAAAGCCAGGTTCCAGGTGCCAGAGGGCTACTCTTGCACGAATTTTTGCATTGGGCCTCTAGTAGTATAATTGATAAGACTGTGATGCGCATTAAATGAGTTACTGTTTTGCTCCCCGCAAAGATGTCCACATCTGAATCCCAAAATCTGTGAACAAGTTTCCTTACATGTCCAAAGGAAATTTGCAGATGTGATCAGGTTAAGGATTGTGGTATAGAAGTATTATCCTGGAATATTATCCTGGGTTGTCCAGGCAGGCCCAGTGTAACCACAAGGGTTCCTATAAGAAGGAGGTAGGAGGACTGGAGTCAGAGACCGAGATGTGATTGAGGGACCAGAGGTCAGAGTGATGTGGTACCACGAGCCAAATACTGCAAGCAGCTTCTAGACCAGTGATGGCGAACCTATGACACGCGTGTCAGAGGTGACACGCGAACTCATTTTTTTGGTTGACTTTTCTTTGTTAAATGGCATTTAAATATATAAAATAAATATCAAAAATATAAATCTTTGTTTTACTAAGGTTGCAAATATCCAAAAATTTCTATATTTGACACAGCACCAGAGTTAAGTTAGGGTTTTTCAAAATGCTGACACGCTGAGCTCAAAAGGTTCACCATCACTGTTCTAGACACTAGAAAAGACAAGAACATGACTCTCTCCTAGAGTCTCCAGAAGGAACACAGCTCCATCAACACCCTGATGTTCCCTCCACTAGGCTCACTTAGGACTTCTGATCACCAGCACTGTGCAATAAGATTGTTATAGCAGCAACAGAAATCTAATACACCTTCATTAACCAAGGCACAGAAGGTTAAGAAATGTGGCCAAGGTCACATGGAAAATGAATGACAGCCGAGACTTGGAACTAGGCTGATCCTTTGTGCAGCCACTACGCTACATAGCTTCTCACCTAGGGCTCCCCCAGTGGCCGGTGTCCTCTCTGTTCACCAATAACTGCACAGGGAACAGCGCCTTTTTGCTCAGGGGGAATGGAACTTAATTGAAAATCACCAGACAGGATGGGATTAGCCTGGGCCAGGGGAAACTGTCTGCCTGGATCCTGCACTCTGTCCCCTGACGGCATCACCACCCGGTACCCAATAAGGTGAGCCAGGTGTCCCTAAAATCCCAGCCCGGGGCTCCACTGTGCGAAGAAACTTTGATCCCCCTTCCCCTCTACATGGCGAGGCATATAAGGATGTTTCAAAAGGGGGACTGGAAGCAGGGCCTAATTGGCATTTATTCAAATTGTGCTTAATTGAATACTTCATCTGCACCTCGAAAACCACATGGGGTACAGGCTCTGTAAAGAGGAAGTAATTTTCATTAACACGATCTAAATTAGTCTGACACAAAGACCTACCTAATAATTGCCATGTGATGAACCTGATGCGGCAGACAAAGGTTTCTTTTTCTTTTTCAAATTTTGTCCTTCCTCCTTTCCTTCCTCCCTCATTTCCTCCGTTCCTCCATCCCTCCCTTCCCTGTTGGATCTGTATGTCAAACGTATCTATTCAGAGAGGCCAGGCTGGTGGTGGCTGGAGTGTAGCGGCCACCATGTAGCTCAGTGGTTCCCAAACTTATTTGGCCTACCGCCCCCTTTCCAGAAAAAATATTACTCAGCCCCTGGAAATTAATTTTTTAAAAATTTTAATAGCAGTTACTCATCGCCCCCAAATGCACCTGTGGCCATCACCGCCCCCCTGGATTGCTGCAGCGCCCATCGGGGGGCGGTAGCGCCCACTTTGGGAATCACTGATGTAGCTGGAGCAGTGGTCATGCTCCCTGCTACTGCGGACAGTTCAGAGAAAGCCAATAGCCTTGTCTCTCTTTCCTCAGAAGACTGTGCACTCTGTGCTTCCTGGGGAACCTTCCACTTTTAACTACATCTTCAACCCATATTTTTCCTCTAACTCCTTCCACTCAGCCCACAAACACTCACTATCTTAAAAGGGGGTGGGAGGAGGGCTTCCAAGGACTAACCCTCCTTTGGTCCCATTATCTTTCTAAAATGCAAACAGGAGCTTGTCACTCCCTTCCTAAAACGTCTGGTGGGACAGACTTGCCTTGGGATCAGCTCTTGGGGGGTTCTCTGGTCTCTCCCCTGGCAACCCATCCTGGTAACGCTTACCTCGCCCCACCCCTGCCCAGATCTGAGCTGGAAGGGCTGTAGGCACGGGTGCCACAGCACTCTAAGATGAGTACCCCTTTCCAACATCTGTGTAGTGGGGAAGTGGGGAGATAGATATTCTATTAATACGGCAAACTTTTTCTTTCTGCTGAAAAGAGATTTGTTACATACATTTGTTATCCAGAGTAATATGCCAATATTGAGCCAATTAAAATCTTGCTAACATTCTTTCTTGGCAAATGTCACATTATTATCTAGTAATAGTCAAGTTTCAGGTTGTAAGCTGCCTAAACGGTCCTCAGGAGACCGCCAGCTGCCACCTCAGAGCAGGGGATGGCTTGTAGTTATACTGCACCCCAAGCTTTGGAGAAATCTTTCAAGAGATAGGCCTGCACCAGTGAGAAACCTTATCTCATTTTATTTCACTACTTATTGTAATCACCACATGAAAGTGTCTGTTTGCATAGACGTGGTTGGATATTCATTTTTCTGTTTATGTCAGGAGCAGTGTCATGGGTGGTAACTGAGTTAAAAGGTGCCAGGTTGTCAACATTTTCCAGTGGTATTTTGGCACCCTGTATAGTTTGGGGGTCTGCAGTGGGTCCCTTGGTGGTCCACTACTAATTCAGTTTTGTGCTATGAGTTCTCTCTGCAACCTTGACTGCCTAGGCTGGGGGGTGGACATTGGTGAGGCTGTTGGCTGCCCAGCCCGTGAGGTTGTAACTACGGCTCACTGTCCACCTGATGTCAGCATCCCTTTACTATGGGTAGGGCCTTCAGCGATGCCCAGCAAGCAAGGCCCGCAGGCCCAGACCTGCAAAGTGTAGCTGAGCATGAACTTTCTCATCAGATACCTCAGAATATCTGATACCTGTGGTGTAATGCTGACTTCTATCCCACTCATGTTCTCTAACTTGGCCTTAGTCTCCGTTGATTTCAGGTTGAAAGTAGGTGGGGTTCAGTATCAGGGCAAAAAGCTAGGATGGGGTGAGCCCAATCCAGGGCAGAGGACAGCCAGGAACCTGCCAGTTCTGTCCGCATTTCAGGGCCTGGGACCAGAAGGTTCCTGCAGAAAGATGATGGGACCCCCTCTTCGCTCAGGTGACATTGTTCTCTCCAGTGGAGTCCTGGGTTCCACCCCAGGGTCACGTGCTGATGAACGGGCATCCAGTCACTGGAGAAGCAGACCTGGGTGGCAGGAGCCCATGGGGACAAAAGAAAATACCCTGGAAGTACGGGCCAGGTGTGCAGGACGGAGTCACAGGCTGAAGGAAAGCCTTGTAGCCCCGGCTCAGCTGCTTGTAGAGCGCACCTTTTGGCTCAGGTGTGCCCACTTTCTTAGCTTCTCAATCCTCTTTTCCAGATTGTGACAATCTTGGCAAACATGTCTGTCCTGGAGCAGTGCGCCTCGGACATCATTCAGGAGAACGGTATGTGTTTTCAGCGCGTGCATGTTGTGTGGGTGATGTGGCCATACAGAACTGCGGGCTTTTGTGTTTGTGTGAAGGCTATGCGGAGGCACGTGCATGTGTACATGTAGGTCTCCACAATAGCATGAGCATGTATATGTGTGCTTATGTGTGCAGCTGGCCAATGTGTAACTGTTTGCTTGCCTTCATGAGGCTTCAATTCCAGTGGGAGACAGCAAACAAGGAGATAGAGAAGGCCAGATGATGGTAGTGACACGAGGAAGATAAAGTGGGGAAGGGGTAAGGTAGACCCAAGGTAGGAGGCTGGCAGGGCATTTTCACTAGGATGGTAAAGAGAAGACAAAGATTTCATTATGATCCAAAGAGTACAAATCCATTCCTACAAAAGGACAGTATTCCAATTTTCAGTCATTCTGATCCAATTGGCTTTGGCCTCAGTAGAACGCTGAAGAGCCTGCGGAGTGGGAGCAGGTCAGGGCCAGCCGGATCCCTCAACACCTCACCTGAGAACATTGCTTTCACACTTTCTCCCCCTCCCACCTTGTGCTGGGTTGTCACCAAGGTCCATGTGAGGTGGGCCAGGTTTCAGTGCCTGGGTCCTGTAGAAAGATGATGGGACCCCCCATCACCTGGGAACAAAGTGGTGAGGGCTTCCTGTTACTGGGAAATAAGGCAGCAATTAGCAATGGGTTGGAAACCAGAGATGCCACCGGTTGCCTCTGTTGTTGCTAAATCCCCTTTTCCCAGGTTGCCCTCTGGTTTAAACAAACACACGCGTTCTGCATCCCCCATTGCTCTATTACTAATTGAAAGACATCATTTTGTGTTCATTCTATGTGATGAGCTAATAACGAAAAACGTTCCTGAACCAGTTGGGAAGCTGGGAGCCCAAGGGGTGTCATTGTGGCCTATTCCTTCAGTACTTGGAGCCTTAAGTTCAACTGGTCAGCAGGAGTGTAATGCAGAGGCCCGTGGATTTGGGATTGGACTATCTGGCATCTGTAGAGGGTTTTATGGTTCATAAAGTGCTATGGATGGGCTCAATCAGTCCATAGTTATTGAGATCTACTATGTGCCTGGCATTGTGCTAAACAAATAACACAGACATCAATAAATCCTTGCCTTAATCCTGGAGGAGATCACAGTTTAGAAGGAGAGGCCAACTTGATAAGAGTGACAACATGACAAAAGTGTGACAGCCACAATAAGACAATGCAGTGGAGGGAGGGTAACATAGCAGCTGATACCATTAAAACTGGAAAAAGTGCTACTGTTTACTAGCTGTATGACCTCTGCACTTCCATCTGCAAAATGGGAACAATAGTAACACCTACCTCATAGGGCTGATGGGAGGATAGCATGTTAGAAGTGTACCTGGCACAGAATGAGCTCTATGCCAAGTGTATCTGCTCTTTCAGGAAACAACAGCAGTCCCCATGGCCCAATTGTAGAGAGTTTGATGAAGAGACTATTTACAAAAGTGTTGCAGCACCTGAGGGATCCTCAGTAATGACGACACAGACAGTAGGCCTCCTGGGCTGGACAGGGCAGGCCCTGTGGCACAGGCTGGACTTTGGAAGGGGTCCTCTTCCCAGGATGCATTTGGCTCTGATGTCTCTTGCCCTGCAGTCTGGTCATGTCATCTCTGTGCTGCCCCAAATTGTGTATGATGGTGGTGATGGGGGGCTGGATGAAGGGCAGTGGGAGGTCAGATAACTGCATGACTCTGAAAAGACACTTCACTCTCTGGGCCTCAAAGGGAATTATACTAATACCAAATTCAAGACTATTGGAGGTTTTAGGGGATCATGTACTTACTATGCACTTAGCACGGTATCAGACATGTAGTCAAAAAGCCCAGTAAAAGCATTTAAAAAGTAAAAAGGGATGTCCTCCAGGGGTCCTTTCCAAGTACGGTGACATGGTACATGGAATCAGAGACACCCCAGGGCAGAAGGAGTAGAAGAGGTGGGCTTGTCTAGCTTCCTTCCCGTGTGTAATATCCCCTCAGTCATTCTGACAGCCTTTACTCCAGCCCTGCAGCTATCCATTCAGCAGGTTCCAAGAAGGCTCCCCACTGGAATGGGTGCCAACTATTCATTGCCTCTTGCCCAGGGGTCCAGCTTATCATGGGCATGCTGTCCGAGAAGCCAAGATCTGGGACCCCTGCTGAGGTGGCCGCCTGCGAGCGAGTCCAACAGAAGGCTGCAGTGACCCTGGCCCGTCTCAGCCGAGACCCAGACGTGGCACAGGAGGCCGTGCGGCTGAGCTGTAAGTGGTACTGGCTGTAGCAGAAGTGGAGTTGGGGGGTGGGGGAGCAGCCTCGATTTCACAGTGGCAACAGAGGGCTGGCTGGGGTGAGCCCCACTCTCTGGGTGCAGGGAAATGCTGGCATGGAGGCCCGGGGTGCAGCCCCTAGTCTAGCTTCTAATTTGGGGCTGAAGCAAGAGAGAGGAAGGATCTAGGGAGGTTTTAGTTGTCCAGAACAATGACTCACCTGCAGACTTCCTGTTCATCAGGACTGCATTTCTTCATCCAACTAATTCATTTCCTAATTCAGTTATTCACTTATTTGTTTACCCATTTGTTCATTCACTCATTAATTCATCCTTTTGTTTATTCATTCATTAGCACATTTATTACTTATTCACCATTAACTCATTTATTAATTCACTCATTAAATCACTCATTCCTTCAGTTAGTCACTTATTTACCCAACAAATGCTGGGCTCTGTTCTTAGTGCTAGGCATGTAACATCAACTATAGCATTGTCCTGACCACAGGCACTTACACACCTATGGGGTGGCAGGTGTGAAAAGAAACATTTGCACTTGAACATCATAGAGCAATACTCAGAGCATGTCCATAGCACATTTGCTACACAAGGGAAGTAGCCCACATTCATCTGGGTGGGCCAGAGAATATTTTAGCAAGGAGGTGAGTCGTCAGCTGTGGTTTGAGGAGTTATCCTTGTGTTAAGGTTGAGAAAGGGCTCTCCAGATAGAGACAGTATCATGCCTGTCCTTCAGGCACAACAAGGTTGGCAAGAGGTGACCCTGTGGCAGCAGAGGGTTCCAGCTTCATAAGACCTTATGGAAGATACACATACAGAATGTGTCACACACCTTTTTTTTTTAAAATATATTTTATTGATTTTTTACAGAGAGGAAGGGAGAGGGGTAGAGAGTTAGAAACATCGATGAGAGAGAAACACCGATCAGCTGCCTCCTGCACACTCCCTACTGGGGATGTGCCTGCAACCAAGGTACATGCCCTTGACCGGAATTGAACCCGGGACCTTTCAGTCCGCAGGCCGATGCTCTATCCACTGAGCCAAACCAGTTAGGGCTGTCACACACCTTTTATCATTCTGTTATAATGAGGTGGTTTTTTAAGTTTGAAGGAAGTCAGTTTGCACTGAAAAGCAGTTATTTATTTAACTTTTCTTCTCTAAAGGCCTAGGCAACATTAACCTACTCAATCTGTAGTTTTCTATATTTTTAGCTACAATATATATTTTTTCTTTTTCAAAAAAATATGTGTTTTTTTTATTGATTTTTTAGAGAGAGAGAAAGGGAGAGGGATAGAGAGATAGAAACATCAATGAGAAACAGCGATAGTTTGCCTCCTGCACACCCCCTACTGGGGATTGAGCCCACAACCCGGGCATGTGCTTTAACTGAGAATCAAACTGGTCACCTCCTGCTGCATGGGGCGAGGCTCAATCTACTGAGCGACACCAGCTGGGCAACAACATATTTTCTGATAGTTAATTGAGAAATAAAAGGTGCCGACAGTTCCACTGAAAAAGATGCAAACCTAAATGTGGCTCTGGTAAAATCAGAGGTACCTCCACAGAAGTAGCTGTTTAGAGAGACCTGTGCCACCTTGGCTGCAGTTTTAACCAAGTTCAGTCCCAGCCAGGGTTCTGGCACTTAGGGGTTTGGTTTTGACACTGCAGCTCATCCTGGCCCTGACGAGGGTCTGTTCTCACCTGAGGGAGCAGCCCTCCACCATGAGCTCCTCCAGGTGGGTTCACTCTCCTTCCCTGGCTGACTGATCAGCTGACAGGGACGCTGGGAGCCACCTGCTTCCACAGGCCCCATTTGGAGAGCTGTGCGAGAGAGAACGGAGCACCCCTGGCTCAGGCCTGGCCAGGCTGGTCCCCACCCAGAGCTTGAGGTTCTCTGTGTGTTTCATGCAGGTATGTCCCGCCTCATTGAACTCTGCCGATCGCCCTCAGAGAGGAACAGCAGTGACGCCGTGCTGGTGGCCTGCCTGGTGAGTTCACAGTCTTCCCCATCTTTTCTCCTGGTCAGGGGAGCTGGCTATGTCATGGTTGGCTTGCATAAGCCATGAAACTTCTCTGGGCTTCAACTTTTCTCTTCAAAATGATGATAAGAGTAATACTTGTTCACTTAATTCATAAAATTTTGGAGACAATTACATGAAGTCATGTATGTGAAAGATGGGAGGCTGGGAGCCACAAACCTTTAGGTTCTAGGGAATCTGAACAATAATCAAGACTGAGTGGCTGGCGGCGGGATGCTAGGCGGTGTTAGTGATGTCACTGTGCCCGATGTACGTGGGAGCTAGGGTGTGGATGTCTCCTGCCTCTTCCAAACCGGACACAGTGAGAAAGCTTCCTTCCCCTCCTCGAAAGGAAGCATTGTGGCTTCCTTCTCTCCTTTGTGGAACAGGACAGGAGGCAATAGGACGGGACAGAGAATATTATTCAGCCAGCCACCAGGGCCTTCACCTGAACCAAGCAAGTGCATCCTGGGAAGTCCCCACCCGACTTCTCCTTGCTGCTTGGGTCTCTCATTTAATTTATCCCATAGCACAAGATGGGGGATGTATGCTTTGTCTCTGAACTCCTCCCTGATGTGGTGTAACAGATTCCAAAGCAGAGCAGCTTCCAGTTGGAAACATGAAGGAGCAGGGAAGTCATTGGATAAATAGGCCCATTTAGCTTCCAGATCCTTGATTGGTCCTCAGAAGATGCAAGGGAGAAGTGATGAATTTAGAGATCCTTCAAGATCTTTCACAGTAAAGCCCCCTCTCACCCATCTTGTTTTAACTGAGTTCATCTCATTTCTGGGAGCCCCTGATGGGCACTGTGGGGTAGCAACAGCAGAGCCTTACAGTCAGACACACCTGTCTTGGTTTTGCCATTAATGAGCTGTGTGACATGGGTAGGTCACTAAATGCTATACATTTTATTTAATAAATATTTACTGAGTTATTCTATCTGAAAATGCACTCCTCTAGGCTACGAGGATATAGCTGTGAAAAAAGAGACAAAAAATCTATGCTGTCATGGGGCTTTTATTCTGGTACATGCAGAACAATCTTAACCTTTCTTGCACCTTGGTGATCTGGTGAAGCTTATGGACCTCTTGTCAGAATGATGTTTTAAACATATACAATAAAATATATAGATTAAAAAGGAATCCAATTATATTAAAACTAGTGGCCTGGTGCACGAATTTGTGCACATTGAAAGATAATTAGAAGAAATATTTTAATATCGTTATTTGCCCTTTTTCTATAATAGAAGTGTCAATCAAATTCACAATCGATAATGACAGATGGAAACACATGCATGTGATTGGCACCAGTGAGAGCTTTATATGTATCGCACATGTGCGAGTCAACTTAGCCTTTTATAGATATAGAATAAACTTGCTTAATTAGACCTGCTTTCTGATGTAGCTAAACTTTTTCCAGCCCAGTGAAGCACCTCAACTTCTCTTTCAGGTAATCTTCAGCAATAGAGCAGTAAATATCAACAGGAAGCAGATTATTATTGTAGATCATGCAGGGAGAACAAAGGGTAAAATATATAACTGCAGCAGTGTTTGACTATATTCTGTGCAGTGAGAAACCTAAAGTCATTTTCAAGGTCCACCATTTCTTACTTCTTTTCAGTCAGGTCAAGTTTCTAAGTTTTCTAAATCTCCGTTTTCTGGCTAATGAAAAGAAAATAGGATTCCACAGAGTCTCCTATCTACCTACTCCAGGACTTGTGTGAGGATCAAATGAGATGAGGCACAGGAAAATGCTTCACAGACATTTGGTTCAGTGTAAAGTGTTTCCATCTGGCTATAAAGCAACTTGTGTTCATGGGCTGAAGAAACTGCAAGGAGGCTAGTTGCTAGGGAGAGGAAGCTGGGCGTTGCTATGTGATGTCATTACCTTGATGAACACTTAGCATATTAGCCTTTTATATATATAGACTAGAGGCCCAGTGCACAAAAATTTGTGCACTGGGGGGGGGGGGAGGGGGGGTCCCCCAGCCCGGCCTGTGCCCTCTCGCAGTCTGGGACCCCTCGGGAGATAACGACCTGCTGGCTTAGGCCTGCTCTCGGGTGGCAGAGGGCACGCCCAATCCCTAGGTGCAGCCCCTGGTCAGGCTCAGAGCAGGTCGATTGGGGAGTTGGGGCGCGGCCCCCTGTCATGCAAAGAGCAGGGCGGATCGGGAGGTTGCGATGCCACCCTCAGTCACGCTCAGGGGAAGGGCCGATTTTGGGGGTTGGGGCACCCCCCTTCCTGTCAGACTCAAGGCAAGGGCCGATGGGGAGGTTGCGGCGCCAACCCCCCTGTTCCCGCACAGAGTAGGGGCGGATCAGGGGGTTGGGGGCTCTTGGCCCCCTGGCAACACTCCGGGGGAGGGGCAATGGGGGAGGGTTATGGGTTCTTCCCCCGGTAAAAAAAAAAAAGGGCCCCGTGGAGGGGGGGGTGGGGGCGCCACCCCTCTATTCCCCAAAAAAGGAAGGGCCCAATCAAGGGGGGTTGGGGGGGCCGCCTACTGGTCTACACTTCAGGGGAAGGGGCCGATTGGGGAAAATTTATGGTTCTTTATCCCCTCCACAAAAAAAAAAAAAGGCCCCCTGGGGGGGGGGGGGGTTGGGGGGGGGTTTTTTTTTTTTTAAAAAAAAAAAGGGCCCATTTTCGGGGGGTTGGGGGGCCCGCCACCCCCTGTAAAAAAACAGGGACCGCAGGGGGGAACACGGGATTTTTGGGAGAGATTTTCCCCCTTATTACTGCTACAAAAGAAAGAGTTTGTAAAGGAGGGTTGGGGGGGCGCCATACCCTGTTCACACACCAGAAAAGGGGCAGGAAAAGGGGGGGTGTGGGGGCCTGCCTCCCTGTGTCTACTTATCAAAAAATAAAA